AATACTTAAACGAACATCTTTTTAGATATACGGACAATAAGTGTAATATGCTGGTTAAATACAATATGTTATATTTATACCAAATATAAAACTATACAACTTCTTTGCTAATAATACTTTGGGACTCTTAAATGAACAATATTTTAAAAAGATGTTACCTTAGAACAAAGAGGCATTGATGACCAAAGGGGTTTACGCCTCAAAACCCAAATAAATAAACAAATAAGATGTTAATACAATGCGTGGACAATAAATGGACCAAATATGCTTTTTAAATTCTAGATTTTATTCTACATGTTGGATAAATTTGGTCCCTTAAACGAAACCCTTTAATAATCTTAAGTTATTTTAATTTGTAACTTTAATACGGTTTTTCTATCGAAGTGAGTTTATTAAAAATACTGGTCGAGACAATTTAATAAGGCCCAAATGGTTTGTTTCTTTATTCATTCTCCCACTTCAAGGACCTTAAAATTTACATCTTAGTTGAAAACTCAGATTTCAAAATTTTCACAATCGCTGTACTTTCTTGTACAATGTATTTCATATATAGATACGTGAAAGTAAATATAACTTTACATGATTTACAATTCATGGTATTAGGTTCATATTTGTGATAAAATTTGTAGACACATATTTTTGACTTACGGATTTACTAGTCTAAAATAATGAAATAAGAAAATAAAAAATTAAGGTATGGAGATTTGGATTATATATAAAAGCAAACGTTAAACAAATATAAGTATTTATATTTTATGTAGTAAGATAAATAATTTAAGTAGTTTTATATTATCTGATGAAAAAAATACGTTTTTATTCAGTCTTAAAGTTTTATTATTCGGTTCTTTTATGAATAAAATAACATTGATACTTCTAGAAAGAATTCACCCGTCCGATATTTTATCGTAAAGCATTGCCAGTTGAATTATAGACTCAATATTCCCCTTTCGAGCTCGATGGTATCTTTAGACTTTTCACAAACTATGGGTGTTGTTATCGCACTATGCTTGTATCTTTGTTTCTTGTTTTTCATCTGCTGTCGGTATCAAGAGAAATAAAATAAATAGTTTGGTTTAGCAATAATGTCGCTGTTAGATAATTAAAGTTAGATAATCGTGTTTCCCAAAGTTTGAGAAATGTCTAAGCGCACCTTGATAATAGAAGGACCAGTTAGTAGTTGTCTTCTCATCCAGTGGAGAAAGGGAAGGACCTAGGTCAGAAATGCTGTTGAGATGTCACGCAGCGATAGGGGGTCATCCTTTCTCAAGAGATGAGACAACAGATTTAAACTGTTCGTCCGTTCAAAACTCATTCTCTTTACCCATCTTACTGGCGGCGCACTAAAACATATCCAACTTTACCCAAAACAGTATATTTAAAAAAATTTGGTGAGCGCAACACACAACTTATCGTTCTACTTTGAATAGAAATTATTTTCTGGCAATGTTTGGCAATTATAAAATTCTTGAAGTGCATTTTAAACGAAGCTAAAGCTTACATATAGCAAATAATTAAAACCATTTAAATTACAAATACTCTATTTATTATATCGACGGTAGGCAAGATTGTTCAGTACAACATTAAAGTACTTTAAAGTATTTATAAAAATGATCCTATACATTTTTTTGATAAAATAAATGCTTACGGAAATATTTCGGGCTGAAGCCCTCCCTCCTACCCCCCCTCCCAAAATGGTAAAATATAATCATTTTTTATAAAAACAAATATTAAAAACTATCTCTTTAAGTATTATTCTTCGGGTAATTACATTTAATAGAACTTCAAGAATCATTTAAACACTATGCCATGTTGGTAGTTAATCTCTTTCCTTTTTTTTCAAATTAACTATCGTTATATATGTATGTATATATATATATATATATATATATATATATATATATATATATATATATATATATATTTTTTTTTTTTTTTTTTTTTTCTGTTGGCACTACAGAGCACGAAGATCTTTGGCCGCGAGATGTGGTCTAGTGATGGGATGTGACTGAGATTTTCTGTCACAGCTCCGACAGTGACAGCTCCGGGAAAATCACTGTGACAAATCACAGTGATTTATTTTTGGTGGTAAGTATATAATGGCTCCTTGGCGAAAGCGTCACTGTGAAATCATAGTTTACGTGTTTGAAATTATATTAAAATACATTTTTTTTTTCTTGTGATAAATTTTATATTTGACGGGGGAAAATACCTCTGGGATCCATTGATTTCTGTATACAGCCATGCAGAGAATATTTGAATTTATCTAATTTTTAATTAATTTCTTATTTATATTTCAACAGTTAAATGAAAAACTTTCAGTTAATTATTTCAGACATGACTCATTCAGAAATATATGGCAATGAATGTTCAATTCATCAAAGTTCAAAAAGTATTTTTAATAAAATTTAACGAATAACTATTATTTTAGAAATAATTATTTCATGGTTATTCCTTTAATTCATATATTAATTTAACAATGCCCAGATCGCTGAAGCGAAAAAGAAGTGATTTCACTGTTGGAGCACTGTGATTTCACAGCGCCTACAGTGATTGTCACTGTGATTTCAGTGCTCCTGTCACTGTGATCACCAACTCCGGCCCAGTCACAGTGACAGAATCACAGCTCCGCCTATATGGCCCCATCACTAATGTGGTCTCATTACAGAGGTTTGTTGCTTGCGGGAGCTCAGATGGCCTGGAGGGGGTCACCCAACCTCACGTTGCTACGAACCATGGTCTCCATGGTGCAGCGGCAGGCCACCCGTAGCTCCATAGCCGATCCCTTTGGGGCCAATCTGTCAGTGTCCTTCCCACCGACTCATTCGGGTTCAAGGACAGTGACAAATCGGTCTAGATCCATGGATTATGGCTGCCAGGAGTCAGCAGGCATATATATATATATGAAAAATTCTAGATACACCTTATCTGAACACACAATTTTAGTCAAAGTCAGTTGAAATCCGTTGCTTTAAAAAATTTAACTAAAGAGTTCGAATGTGACGGTTCATTTAATGGAAGAACATATGGCTGAAATTTTTATATGATTTCAAGAATATGTCCCTTAAAGAGAATTCGCCTTGACTGACGATATACTCGGTTGCGTTTTGAAAACTGATGACGTCAAAGTCATCAAATTAGGCCAGTCAGAGGAGGAAAATTTAAATAATACGCTTCTGTTCGGTTTTTTTATGTATTTTGTGATGCTGAATCTGAATTTGATGTTTCCGAACGAAATTTTTCACTGCGTTCCGAGATATAGGCAAAAATAAGCAGAATTTACGAGCTTCCTTTAATTTTTTTGAATCTGACTCCGAAATTATGCACTTTATACAAATTATTATTAGATACAATGTTAAAGATGATAAAATTTACTATCAATTTTACGCATAACTTTGTGATGTATGTCCAACCAGTAAGGAGTTTGAGAATGTTGACTGTATGCTTATTTCACAAGAAATGTCTATTTTCGTCGAGTTCTCTCCCAAAACTCAAAATGTATGCATCTCTAGAAGAAATTTATTATTATCAATTTGAAAGAGCATTAAATTTTTTATGTAACACGTGTAGATACGTTAAAATGTGAAAAAGTGGTTGTATGCAAGGAATCCAAGACGTATTTCACTCATTGTATCTGCCTCTCTCAACTAAGTGCTTTTTTTCTTGCCAATGCTTTTGATTCCGCTAATTTAACTATATTTATAACATAACTAGAATTTCCTAACAAAATACATAGTTTATATATGACATTGGGCCTACTCGCATTTTATAGAGAGTGGGTATCATCATTAATATAAGAAAGTTAAAAAGCAATTAGAGTGCTCTTCTTTTTTAAATAACATTGACTAATCTGTGAGAACATGAAAAAAAAAAATACCTATATGAAATAATGTTTTTGGTCCTTGAAAGCCATAAAAAAAGAAATAATTCTTTTTTCATCAACATTTAGTTGTAAAAAGATAAATTCTTACTTTCTTTTTTTTAATTTATTTATTCATATGTACAACTGTATTAAAATTAAAATAAATCTTGTAAATGTGCACACAGAAATATAATGGCATAAAAACGCTTTTTGGGAAACCATCCGGTGGTAGAACTCTAAAAGTTCAATTCTAAAAAGCTTTTTTAATTCATGAGAATTTTATGGAAGGAATTAGATTATTGCCTGGTCTATTAATTGTTGTTATTACAGAAAATCTGTATTTTAAATTTCATACAATAAGATTAAGTATAAGAGTGTCTGATGCAAGGCATGAAACGTAATAAATAAAAAATTCAGATCTAGCATCAATATTATTGCTCTATAAACACCCCAGAGCTATTTATATTGCTTAACTAATTAGGATTTTATTTAAAAGCATTTTATAGTTTCGTTAACTCGATGTGTACAATTACAAAATACATCCAGTATAAAGCTTGCTTAATATCGCTAATAGAACATACGCCTTAGCCTATTTAAGGTACAATAATCAATCTATTCATTTCGATCACACCAGTGTAGAGGTAATAAAGACTTTGCGCCTGATGTAAAAATAACATAATAAATAAAAAATTCAGATCTAGCACCAATATTATTCCTCTGTAAACACCACAGAGCTTTTTACGTTGCTTAAAAAATTATGATTTTATTTCAATCATATTATTTAAAAGCATTTAATAGTTTCGTCAACTCAATGTGTACAAATACAAAATATATTCAGTATAAAGCTTGAAAAATGTTGCTAATACAACATACCCTTTGATCTGTTTAAGGTATAATAATCAATTTTTTTCAATCCAATCAAATCATTTTAAAGGTTATAAAGATTTTGTGCCCAATATAAAAATAACATAATAAAGAAAACATTCAGATCTTGCATCAATATTATTGCTCTATAAACACCGCAGAGCTTTTAATGTTGCTTTAAAAAATAGGGTTTTATTTCAATCATATTATTTAAATGCATTATATAGTTTCGTCAACTTAATGTGTGCAAATACAAAATATATTCTCATAGTAAAAATAACATAATAAATAAAAAATTCAGATCTAGCATCAATATTATTGCTCTATAATCACCCCAGAGCTATTTATGTTGCTTAAAAAGTTATGATTTTATTTCACTCACATTATTCAAAAGCATTTAATAGTTTCGTCAACTCAATGTGTACAAATACAAAATATATTCAGTATAAAGCTTGAAAAATGTTGCTAATACAACATACCCTTTGATCTGTTTAAGGTATAATTATCAATTTTTTTCAATCCAATCAAATCATTTTAAAGGTTATAAAGATTTTGTGCCCAATATAAAAATAACATAATAAAGAAAACATTCAGATCTTGCATCAATATTATTGCTCTATAAACACCGCAGAGCTTTTAATGTTGCTTAAAAAAATAGGGTTTTATTTCAATCATATTATTTAAAAGCATTATATAGTTTCGTCAACTTAATGTGTGCAAATACAAAATATATTCAGTATGAAGCTTATTAAATGTTGTTAATAAAACATGTCCCTTGACCTGTTTAAGGTACAATAATCAATCTATTCATTTCAATCAAATCAGTTCAAAGGTTATAAAGATTCGGCATCAAATAAAAAAAAATATAATAAATAAAAAATTCAGATCTAGCGTCAATAATATTGTTCTATAACCACCCGAGAGCTATTTATGTTGCTTAACTAATTAGGATTTTATTTAAAAGCATTTTATAGTTTCGTTAACTCAATGTGTACAATTAAAATTTATTCAATCAATCTATTCATTTCAATTAAACCAGTTCAAAGGTAATAAAGATTCAGCGCCCAATGTAAAAATAACATAATAAATAAAAAATTCAGATCTAGGATCAATACTATTGCTCGACAGACACCCCAGTTGCTGAAAACATTAGAATTTTATTTTACTCATTTATTTAAAAGCATTATATAGTTTCGTCAACTTAATGTGTACAAATACAAAATATAGCCAGTATAAAGCATGTTTAATGTTGTTAATAACACATACCCCTTGACCTGTTTAAGGTACAATAATCAATCTATTCATTTCAATCAAATCAGTTCAAAGGTTATAAAGATTCGGCATCAAATGAAAAAAAAATATAATAAATAAAAAATTCAGATCTGGCGTCAATAATATTGTTCTATAACCACCCCAGAGCTATTTATGTTGCTTAACTAATTAGGATTTTATTTAAAAGCATTTTATAGTTTCGTTAACTCGATGTGTACAATTACAAAATATATCCAGTATAAAGCTTGCTTAATATCGCTAATAGAACATACGCCTTAGCCTATTTAAGGTACAATAATCAATCTATTCATTTCGATCACACCAGTGTAGAGGTAATAAAGACTTTGCGCCTGATGTAAAAATAACACAATAAATACAAAATTCAGATCTAGCACCAATATTATTCCTCTGTAAACACCACAGAGCTTTTTACGTTGCTTAAAAAATTATGATTTTATTTCAATCATATTATTTAAAAGCATTTGATAGTTTCGTCAACTCAATGTGTACAAATACAAAATATATTCAGTATAAAGCTTGAAAAATGTTGCTAATACAACATACCCTTTGATCTGTTTAAGGTATAATAATCAATTTTTTTCAATCCAATCAAATCATTTTAAAGGTTATAAAGATTTTGTGCCCAATATAAAAATAACATAATAAAGAAAACATTCAGATCTTGCATCAATATTATTGCTCTATAAACACCGCAGAGCTTTCAATGTTGCTTAAAAAAATAGGGTTTTATTTCAATCATATTATTTAAATGCATTATATAGTTTCGTCAACTTAATGTGTGCAAATACAAAATATATTCTCATAGTAAAAATAACATAATAAATAAAAAATTCAGATCTAGCATCAATATTATTGCTCTATAAACACCCCAGAGCTATTTATGTTGCTTAAAAAGTTATGATTTTATTTCACTCACATTATTCAAAAGCATTTAATAGTTTCGTCAACTCAATGTGTACAAATACAAAATATATTCAGTATAAAGCTTGAAAAATGTTGCTAATACAACATACCCTTTGATCTGTTTAAGGTATAATAATCAATTTTTTTCAATCCAATCAAATCATTTTAAAGGTTATAAAGATTTTGTGCCCAATATAAAAATAACATAATAAAGAAAACATTCAGATCTTGCATCAATATTATTGCTCTATAAACACCGCAGAGCTTTTAATGTTGCTTAAAAAAATAGGGTTTTATTTCAATCATATTATTTAAAAGCATTATATAGTTTCATCAACTTAATGTGTGCAAATACAAAATATATTCTCATAGTAAAAATAACATAATAAATAAAAAATTCAGATCTAGTATCAATATTATTGCTCTATAATCACCCCAGAGCTATTTATGTTGCTTAAAAAGTTATGATTTTATTTCACTCACATTATTCAAAAGCATTATATAGTTTCGTCAACTCAATACATACAAATACAAAATATATCCAGTAAAAAGAATGTTTAATGTTGTTAATAACACATACCCCTTGACCTGTTTAAGGCACAATAATCAATCTATTCATTTCAATCGAATCAGTTCAAAGGTTATATATAAACATTCAGCGCTCATAGTAAAGATAACATAATAAATAAAAAATTCAGATCTAGCATCAATATTATTGCTCTATAATCACCCCAGAGCTGTTTATGTTGCGTAAAAAGTTATGATTTTATTTCACTCACATTATTCAAAAGCATTTTATTGTTTCGTCAACTCAATATGTAAAATACAAAATATAACCAGTATAAATCATGTTTAATGTTGTTAATAACACATACCCCTTGACCTGTTTAAGGCACAATAATCAATCTATTCATTTCAATTGAATCAGTTCAAAGGTTATATATAAACATTCAGCGCTCATAGTAAAAATAACATAATAAATAAAAAATTCAGATCTAGCATCAATATTATTGCTCTATAATCACCCCAGAGCTATTTATGTTGCTTAAAAAGTTATGATTTTATTTCACTCACATTATTCAAAAGCATTTTATAGTTTCGTCAACTCAATATGTAAAATACAAAACATAACCAGCATAAATCATGTTTAATGTTGTTAATAACACATACCCCTTGACCTGTTTAAGGCACAATAATCAATCTATTCATTTCAATCGAATCAGTTCAAAGTTTATATATAAACATTCAGCGCTCATAGTAAAAATAACATAATAAATAAAAAATTCAGATATAGCATCAATATTATTGCTCTATAATCACCCCAGAGCTGTTTATGTTGCTTAAAAAGTTATGATTTTATTTCACTCAATTATTCAAAAGCATTTTATTGTTTCGTCAACTCAATATGTAAAATTCAAAATATAACCAGTATAAATCATGTTTAATGTTGCTAATAAAGCATACCCCTTGACCTGTTTAAGGTACAATAATCAATTTATTCATTTCAATCAAACTAGTTCAAAGGTTATAAGGATTTTGTGCCCAATATAAAAATAACATAATAAAGAAAACATTCAGATCTTGCATCAAAATTATTGCACTTATAACACCCCAGAGCTACTTATATTGCTTAAGTAGGTGGCATTTTATTAAAATCACTTCATTTCAAAGTTTTTTAAACATTTATTAACAGATATAAAAATAACATAATAAATAAAACATTTAGATCTTGCATCAATATTATTGCTTTTTACACACCCCAGATCTATTTATGTAGTACAAATATTAAGCATTATATTCTGAATTTTTTCACTTGCAAGAATTATCTGCATTTTATATTTATTGAATTTTAAGTATAGTTTTATTCACATCCCCAAAAGTACATCTTTAAGTCATAGATTCTTTATCAACATGATTTTAGATTTCTCACTGTGAAACAAAACACTTGACGTACATTTAATGTAACCCACGCTACAATAGCGTCCATATTTGGCTGAATACTAAATGGGAGGGAAGAGCGATAGTCGATAGTTGAATACTATCGATAGTTCTAGTGACGCGATAGGTTGCATCCTCCCCTCAGACACGAATTATTTTATATTTTATAGTTAAACAAATAATTTTAGTAATACTTCACTATAGTCTACACATTTATTGATGTACGAGATGTAGTGATAATATATAATGTAAAAGTGATAAAATGTAATGTATAATATATAAGGTTTCGGAATAGTTATCCATAATCAATCATTTCCCTTTAGTTAACACTACTAAAGTAATATGTTTGATTATGGAAAACTGTTCCGAGATTTACATTTAAAAAATAAATGGTTAGAAGTGTGAATGCTCTTTAATTAAAAGTTCCCACTCCTAGTTAGTGAACAAGTTATGGGGGGGGGCATCTTGGTCAGTTTTTTTCGGGTTATCGCTTATTTCAGGAAAACTATCTATCGCATTGAAAATGAAGTTGTTACAAAAGTAAAGCTAATAAAATTTGTAATATGATTGATTATATACATTTTTTCGCTATCTTGCTTTGTTTCCGACTTATCCGTCCTCAACTATCGCTAATGTGGAAAAAAAAATTTTATCTCTTGTTTTTTACTGTATTTGACTAGCTAACTATTTAATCTTCAACGGTTCAAAAGTTAGATATGTACAGTATGTTAGAGGAATATAATAACGTAATTATGAAAATTAAGTTTCTTAATTTATAATATAAAGTTTATAAAGTCATTTATAATTGACACATAAAGTTACAATTGTTCTAACTTTTGAACCGTTGGAAAATAGTAAAATAATATATTCTTAAATAACATTAAAATATTATGAACTTTCTTCCTTATAACTTAATCGTAGAACGAAGCAAACAACAGTTAGCTTGCCAAATACAGTAAAAAAACATGAGTTGATTTTTTTCCAAATTAAGGATAGTTGAGGACGGATATCTCGGAAACGAAGCGAGATAGTGAAAAAAGGTATCTAATCAATCATGTTAAACATTTTTAATCTTTAATTTTGTATAGAGTGTCTTTGTCGATGCGATGGATTGTTTTTTCTGATATAAGCGAAAATCCGAAATGACAGCAATGTCACAATGAACGTTACTCGTCCAGGCATTGGAAATCTGTTTATTTTAGCTTACTACACTTCACATTTTGTAAATTAATTAATTTTAAAAATTAAGTGTGGTGCGTGCATCACAACTTTCACTTGTCACCTTACCTTGAATAAACATATTTCCATATTTCCATATTTTTATAAACAGGGAAATGAAAGTTAATATTATAAACAGCGTAATATTTTAATTTAAAACAATTAATTATTATACATAAAATTATGAAATATAAATTAAACGGAATTTACGAATTTTCAAAAAAAAAAATTTTCCATTTTCCAGTTTTAACCTTTTCTCTGAATTATCTC